ACCAAAGGGAGGAGACTTGTTTCATACAAGGACATAGTCCTACAACTTAATGGTGAGGATGACAAAACCCATGAAGAAGAAGAGGAATGGTTAGCTGAGGATGAGGAAGACCAAATAGGGGAGGACACTCCAAACCATCAGGAGAACCCTCTCTGCGCGGTTTACCACTTTTCTAAAAAACAACATAAAGAAGACTGCAAAAAATGGAGTAAGGCCCTGTTTACCATTTTTCTAAAAAACAACATAGAGAAGACAATAAAAAATAGAGTAAGGCATTGATCATAAAGCTGTTGGGAAAAAAAACTGAACAACCGATTTCTGAGGGCTAGACTTCAAAGACTCTGGCAGGGAAATTTGAAGTGATTGATCTGGACAATGGCTATATCCTCATCAACTTACATGAAGACAAGGATTACCAACACGTACTGCATGAAGGTCCTTGGATTGTTATGGACCATTACGTGGTTGTGCAAAGATGGAGGCCAATGTTTGGCCCCTATGATGAACAAGTAAAAAGAATGGTTGTGTGGGCAAGGATTCCAAGGTTACCATTAAAGTTCTACTCGACTCAACATCTTTGGAAGATAGTCAACCTGCTTGGTAGAACTCTCAAAGTGGACAAGAACTCCTTCCGTAAGTCAGACAGTGGAGGAGGAGAGTACACAGAGAAGGCTAGATATGCTAGAATATATGTTGAGGTAGATTTACGTAAGAGTTTCATCTCTCAATTCCAACTCTTGGACAAGACCCTGAATGTAGCTTATGAAGGACTCCACTTAATGTGCTTTGGCTGTGGTAGATATGGGCATAGACAAGACATGTGCAGTGGAAGCAACTTAGCTATGGGAAATAGAGGCCCGGCTAGATATTGGGGAATGCAATAGTGTGATTGATTGGTTAGCCTCTCAGGCTTATAAGCACAGCTGGGTTGTAAAGATTTGGGAAGCTCTTCCCCCTGAGTGTTGGGCTCTTCTGCAAAATGATATCATGGGTGTTGATCACTCTCGCATGTGCGGTAGCTAGCTCATTTTAGTTTTATTTTTGTTGTCTGTTTTTTAGTTCCCTTCTGTTTTCCAAAAAAAAAAAAGTGCCAAATGCAAACATACCCGTTAGTGCCTCGTACAATTTCTCCAACGATCAGGTGAAGTCAACATCAACCACTTATTGTAGAAATACAAATGTGCCCTTATATTGTAAAGGCATTATCGTCATTTTGGGGTTTTAAAACTCCCTCACTCGCTCCTCACTTTGTACAAGAGAAAACAACTCACTTCTTGATCTCTTAATCCCGCGATTCTGCTCTTATTCACTGACAGAAGCAAACCTTCTCCCTCTGCGTGACTCTGGCTCTCTCTCTCTCTCTCTCTCTCCTTTATAGGTATTTTTTCTGACATCTTATCTACATTGACCGCAGAAAAAGCGAACCCTTCTTTTATTGCTTTTTTTTTTCTGGCTTCCGTCTGTCGTAGCTTTTCATTTCTTTTTCTTGGTTCTAATTTTTTATTGCCTCTATTTTTTCTCTGGGTTCTATCTGTCCTATATATTCTTTCTCGCTCTCTCTATTTGTTTTACTGGCACTTTTTCTTTTATGGTTTATGTCTTAGCTTTTTATTTCTACTAATGTATTACCCGTGCGTTGCACGGAGGAAAAAAATTTGATTTGCTTGTCTCGTAAAAACTAACGCAACACATGCAAGATGCTGAACCTACATTTGTGATCTTTTATCCTCTTAGGAATGAATTAGTAATAATCTACAAATGAAATTATGAAAAAAATAACACATGAACATGTGAGTACAAATAAAAAGTGTCATAACAATACATCCATATATTGATGACGATGGAATATTGTTTGTTCAAAAATAGCAGTTAACAATATACCATGTGTGCATGAAAAGCGATTCCTGCATAAGAAAAAAAAAAGTAGCAGTTAATAAAATCAAACGTTAACGAATATAAATAAAAAACACTTCATTGCCATTTTTTTTTGTCTTTACCTGTACCAAGCAGTGATGTTATCTCATAATAGACAGAAGGAAATTCACGACATTAATCTTTGAAATACTTCATTGTAAACTATATTAAGGGTACTATTTGTAACACAATCGTTTTCATCAAGTATCAATATCTTCAATTCATGCTTGCTCTTTACTCTAGACAGTGCCACATATAATTGCCCATGAGTGAAGACAGGCTTGGGGAGATAAATTGCAACATGAGAAAGAGATTGTCCTTAGCTCTTATTGATAGTCATGGCAAATGAAACAATAAGGGAGAATTGTCTTCTTTGGAAATTTATAGGAAATGTGTGACTTGATGGGCTCATCGTCATTCTAGGGATTAACACAATTTCACCTATATTGCTTCCTGTAAAGAACAATTGTCTCAACAACATGATTCCCCAATTTTGTAATGAGTAGCCTTGTGCCATTGCATAAACCTCTGGACTGATCAATATTTCTCAATAGCATTACTGAAACTTTAACCTTCAAGGTTAATTTATGATCAGAAATCCTCGAACACGATAATGTATTTAAGATCTCGGGTGTGAATCCATCATCTTCAACGGAGGAAGCCAATCTTGCTTCAGAATTTTATCAGAACTCAAAAATGTCCTTTCTTCACCAGGAATCATCGACATCAGGTGCTCGTTCAGCATAGCAACATCGGACAATTTAGGGGTTAAGATAACACGTTCTTTGGAAAACGTTGGATTTAAAAAATTATTCAAGAGATTCGGATAAACAAAATTAACCATATCTGAAACAGGATAATCTGATTCTGTAATCAATAATTCATCTGGAATTGTTATTATATATTCTCCGTTTTCATCATCTCCAAGATCATCATCCCCAACTTTAAGTAGCCACTTTGAAAATTCTTTTATTTCCTTCACATCATGAGTGGTACTTCCAAAATTAAGACGCATGTCCTTGGTCAAAGTTAATAAATGACAATGAGACTATAGATGAGAAGAATTTATGGTTGTGTAGACACCAAAAATTGTCCAGGTATTTCAAATAAAAAAATAAAAAAAAATATTGAAAAGAAACAAACGTGTGGAGAGGTAATGAGGAAGGCCTCGAGCCTTGCTCCTATCCCTATCAATCATATGTTCTTCTGCAAGGAAAGATTTTTAGTTTGAACAAGGCACCGCCACTACAAGTCACACTTAGCCCACTCGTTAGAAGAAAAGAAGAGAGAAACAAAAATGGAAGTTTGAAAGGATGTTCATATGGTCTAAACGTAGAACCATTGTAATATACTGAAGAACTTATTATCCACCAGGTAAAGGATGCAAGCTTTTTTCTTCTTCTATAAAAACCAGAGCGCATAGCAAGGAGAGGGGAGAAGATTTTTTTTTTTATGGATTCTGATTACTCTTGAAAAAAAAGGAATACGAAAAAATAAACCCAAGTTTCTTCAGAAGCAAATCAGTCCCAAATTTCTTGAACCCAAAATCCTTCAAACCCAAATCCAAAAAAAAACTAACAGCCAACTGTAGGTCACCGCCGCACCGCCACAAGCACCGTGGAACCACCGTGGGTGATCGAAGAACCAACGTGGGCCGCCATCGCCAGCCACTGCGCCTCCACCACAAGCACCAGCAGCCAGCCGCCGCACCGCGCCACCGTCGGATCACCACGAGCTCCATCTACACGCGCACACCACTTCACCACGGAACACACGATTTTGCTAACTCATTTTTTTTCCTTCACACAGGTAAAGCCGCCGACAACCTTCCTGCCTCTAGTTTACGGTTTCTGGTCCTAGTTTTGAAAAAGATTGAAGTATTACATTTGAGTAAAGCATTCAATTGGGTTTTGGTCAACTAAGCCATTAAAGTATGGCTGGTCATTTTTTTTCTTAAAAAAGAAAAAAAAGGCATGGGCTTATCAATTTTTTTTCTTAATAAAGGTACACTTGGTAAAGCCCATTATCCGTGGGCTGTTTGATTTTTATTTAGAAATAAATAAATTTTTGTTATAGTATAATATTCTGAAAAATAAAAGTATAAATTTAGTTCATAAAATAGGCAAACTATTAATTAAAATTAAATAGAAGTCAAATGTGAATAAAATAATATATATATTTCCAGTATTGTCTATTGGTGGACGGCTCTTATGGATTTTTTTTAACTTAGTGTTGATACAATCAATTATTTTGTCATAAAAATTATAAAAGAAAGATTTACAAAATTTTTAAAATTTAAAGTTTGTTTTAATCCATAGCAATGATTTACAACGTTGATGTATGGTCTTCCATCCTCAAGTGTTGTAAATATCATATAGATATACGTATAGCTATGCTATCTTATATCCTGTGCAACGTGGATTCATTTTATAAATTAAATATTTTCTCTCAAGATTTCAAAAAGTCAAAAAAAATCAAAATTACAAATCTAATAGATTTTATTTTAAAATATCCTAGCAACAAATTATAACGTTGATGTATGGTCTTCTATCCTCAAGTGTTGTAATCTTCATAAGAATGTATGAGTAGCACTGCTACCTTAAATTCTGAGCTAAGATGGATCCCTTTTTTTTCAAAATTAAAAACTTTTCAAAATTAATAATATTTTCCTTCAAAATCTTTTCAAATATTAAAATCTACCAATCCGCAAATATTTTTTACAGAACGACGTAGCTTTGAGTTCCCTATTGTACTGAGGGATACGTCGGAGCGGGATCTTTCCCGTCAAGCACAAAAATAAATTTTTAAAAATTTGTTTTGTTTTCATTTATCAATTTAGTTCAATTCTTTGGGGTGAAATAAATATTTAAAATTTTATCAATGATTTGCACAATTAATATAAGGTAACCGTTTTTTTTTTAACGGACGGTGTAGGGTGCTAATACCTTTCCTATTCGTAATCGACTCTCGAATCCATTTTATATTTCAAAGACCAGTTTTCTCAAATAAAAGGGTTTTTCCAATATTTTTCCAAATAAACTTTGGTGGCGACTCCATTGTTTTTAAACCTTCAATTTCTTTCGCTGTCACGTCGCGATCCGGTTGCGACAGGTTGCATTTACTATCTTCTTTCTGCTGCCATGAGGAATGACAGGTAATATTTGCCGAAAGTCACCTCCTAGAACAACAATTTTTCCACCAAATGGCATATCAACACAGCTCGTGTTAGAAAATCTAAGGACAACTCTAAGTGTTCTATCCAGAGCCTCAAAACAAAATCTATGCACCATTGGTGCTTCATCCCAAATGATTAACTTCGTTTTTGACAGCAACTCTGCTATAGTAGAATTTGGCTTTATATTACACGTTGAATCTTCATTGATCTGAATAGGAATACGAAATCTAGAATATGTTGTTCGTCCTCCTGGAAGCAGAAGGGAAGCAATTCTGCTAGAAGCAACATTAAGTACTATTTCAGCTTTTAATCTAACAGATGCTAAAAGAGTATTCCAAATAAATATTTTTCCTGTACCACCAAATCCATATAGAAAGAATAACCCTCATTTACCTGCTGTAACTGCCGAAATGATTTTGTCATAAACAACTCTCTGCTCATCAGTGAGGGAATTAAATAGTCTTTCATGCTCTTCTCCTAATGAAAATCTGTCATACATTAATTCATGAACCACTAATCGATTCTGCATATCAAGCAACGATTCACTGGTGATGAGAGACATTGACGGGTAATCAGAGAGGCATTTACCATTGCTCTGCAGCACCTTATCAATTTGAGCAAGTGTTATGTTTTTTATACTTTCTTCTGTAAGAAGTGCATCTAAAAAAACCATAAAATACAAAGAAAAAAAAACTTAAAATTAACAAAGAGAAAGATATAAAGGAAAGAACAAAACCGAAATAAATAATAAAGCAACATATGCTGAATTCGGGTAAAAAAATAGCGAATTAAACAGTAAAGCAACATATATTGATTTCGGTTTTTAAAAAATATAAATGCGTTAAATATTATCATAACATGTACCTTGACGCCCTATTCTTTTCCTATCCCGATAATGGACGTCGTCGGATAAAAATTTCCAACACTCTTCCCAAACTTTTTCAGGCCTGTGCATTGAGTTGGCAAATAACAATAGAGCAAACAGAGATCTAAGATATGTAGCAGAACCCCATGAACTTGCCTCTTTAATTGCATCAATATACTCATTGTCATCATCTAGAAGTTCCAAAGAATAGCAGGCATCCTTAAATGTAGGAAAAAACACGCCATTGATTGTTCTAAGATCTTCAGAACTAGTACACCCCCTTTGAAAAGTAAGCAACGTGCGAAGATAGGAATCTTCTCCATTATTGGCAGAAAAATGATTTATTCTCCCAATTGAAAATCCCACTTTTCTAGGTTTCCATTCATGAGTTTGGTCTTTGTAAACAAATTCAGTCGGGTACTCTGCATAAGTTAGATGCCTACCTTCTGGATATTTTTTATTTGCATGCTTCCAAGACTCAAAGATTGATAGTCTAGACTCCGCCCTTGTCTTGACATCAGAAATCGAAGCATTATCACTGAAAATAATGTTCTTTTCATTAGGCAGGTGAAATGGCAATCTCTGAACAGGGGGTACCTGGAATGAATGTCAAATCCAAAAATTCTCCAAGCAGCTTCACATGCGGAGACATACCTGTAATAAATAAATAATTAAAACAACAAAGTTGAAAAATCATGAAAGAAGACACGTCAATTTTTGGGAGAAGCAAAATCAGATCAGAGATAATTTTGAGTACCTGCAATCATAAAATATTTTGATTTCATCTTCTGCATGATGTACGACAGCTGTCACTCTATCATTCCCTTTGTGAATGTATTTAAAAAGATATTTAATGGCACTTCTCTGGCATCATTTTCAACACCATTTTTGTTCACAACTCTCGCATTATTTCGTCTCTTATAATGAGGGAATCCATCATCATCAATAGAAGTACGGGAGAAAAAGTTTTTTGGAAATTTTTTTGAACACCGTCCGTCATTCATGCAAGGAAATTTGTAATTTTCAGGACCACATGGACCATGTATCATGTAATTTATGACAGCTTGAAACAGCAAAGGATTGGAATCCTTGTCAGGAATTTCTGCTGAAATCAATTTATCAATATCAAGAGCACTTTCAGGCATGTTTGAAAGGTGCAAGAATAGAAAAATATGAGCATGAGGTAGTCCGCGCTTTTGGAATTCCATTCTACAAACATCTGTTACATTGACCAAAATGCAACAACAATAATGATAAGAAAATAACAATGTTATAGACAGATTTATTGCATGTCATGATAAATTCCCTTAAAACTCGATTTAAGTTATGAATAAAAAATAAATAAGTTTAGCATATACTTACTGTTAGTATATGGATGTCCTAGAGACAATCTTTTAATTAGATTAGGACATATGTGGACCTTTGTATTGTCGCAAATAAATAAAAGCACTATTTATCCTGTTTCATATTTTGTCTCAATATTACTGTTAATATTTTATATGAGTAACTGGATAAACCCCTTGGAATAAAATAGGTATCTCTTAAGTATCTGTGATGAGATCACGATCATGAGGATTCAAGGATACTGGATATTTATTCCTAATTTTATGTTCCTAGTCTAGAGACACTGAGAATGGGGATCAGTGATCTCGGGTAAGACTAGCACGACTTATCTACTTGTATTTGGATGCAAGGTAAAGACCTCATGAGCTACAGATATGGAGATGTCTTAGCTAAAGTCGTGGGTGGATCTATAAGGGTATAGCTCGCACTGAACAGACCCACAAAAGAGACTCGATGAGGAAATCTCACAGAGAGTATCATTAGAGTAGTCTCTTTATATTTGGGTATGTCTTTCCTTAAACCAGAAATTATTACCTAGACTGTGTTCTAGAAGGCATGCTTTGACTGTATACCTCGTCTGCCGGAAACATGGAGACTCATAGGTATACTGTTGGGCTTATCCTGAAAGAGCACAGGGCTAGGGTGATAAGCTGAAAGAATTCATCAAATCTCTGTGAGAGATTAGGTTATCTGTAAACCGGAGAAATCGGGATGACATTTACAGGGACTCAGGAATCTATGCATAGTAAAAGAGATAATGAGATGATCTGCCTTTAGAGTCAGTAAATTGAAGATTCCCTATTTCGAATAAAGCTTACCCTAAACTGCAAGGGTTGATACGCTTCCTTACCCTAGGTTTTATGGGAAGGTAACCGAGATGAAAAGAAATACATACGATAACCAAATATGTGTAATAGGATGATCAAGTCATTAATCTAACTAGCTCTGGGGCAACAAAACATTGCTAGTGCTCTGTGTTGTCATTAAATGAGTTGTGGGCTTGTTAGGCCCGAGCCCATTTATGTCAGTGGCTATGTTGGACCTAATGGGTCACACACTAACACCTTAATGTCATGATGATATAGCATTAAAGGTATTGGGCCTAATAATGGTTGTTAGCCCAAGATGAAGTTTGGAAGCCCACCTAAGAGGGAGAGGGCGCATGGTATTGTTAATGAGCTTGGATGGTCCAAGACATTACTAATTAATTTAATTAGTTAAATTAATTATCAAAAATTTAAATTTTGAATTTGAATTTTGAAATTTGAATTTTGAATTTGAATTTTGAAATTCCAATTTTGAATTTGAAATTTGAATTTTGAATTTTGAATTTGAAATTTGAAATTTGAATTTTGAATTTTGAATTTGAAATTTGAATTTGAATTTGAAATTTGAATTTGAATTTAGAATTTAAATGTTTGAACGTTTGAATTTAAATGTTTGAATTCAAATTTGAATTGGCTATGAAAAGTTGTTTCATAACAAAAGGATAAGATGAGATCTTGTTGGAACAAATCCCTTGTATCAAGAGAAGATCTATGGAGATCTCCAAGGGCTGATTTGGGGCGCCATTTTGGTGGGAGATGATTGTCATCTTGTCAAACCAACAAGCTCCAATCAGATTTGGTTGTTGAGAGAATCAGTGAGTTAGTTGGTTCAAACTTGAATGCAACAGCTCAAATGTATCTGAACCCTTTTTGGGCTGAATAGGGGCGCATGAATTGGTGGTCATATCATGACCATTGGTTTAGAATTTTGACTAGATAAAGACCTAGTCTTATGAGGATTCAAAAGGGAGGTTGTTGGGATTTTTGAATTGCAACAACTCCACCTTTGTCTCAGTCACTTGTGTGCCACTTTCATTATAAGTAAAGTAAAAATTCTGATTTAATACACTAATTCTCTCCCTCTCTTGTGCGCCTAGTTGGTGAGTTCCTCCTTAAGGTTTTTCAAAAGAACCTAGTCAATTCTTCTATATACCATTCCTACTCTTGTGAAGTTTTCATGCTGGAGACTTCACTCTTCCAAACACATATACCTAACCTCCTTCTTCACCCATTGAGCGCATAGCAAGCCTCTCTGTGGTGGTCAATTGGTGGCTTTCAAGAAAGCGTTCTTGCATCTTGACGTGGGTGGTGTGGATCAACGTTAGAGGGTTTGAACCCTTCAAACCTAACATTGATCGTCTTGGAGTTTTGAACTCACAAATAAAGGTAACATCACATGCCATAAAGCATGATTCTTGATTGCATGTGTAATTCCGCATATGAAAAATTTTGTTTTTCCCTCTCACATGCTACGGCCTTCAAGGCCATTTTACTTTCACTTACATGCAATAACTTTGCCAAGAACATTTTGTTTCCTCAGATCATGTAACAATTCGTCCAATTTTAACTTGAATACTCTGCATAGAATATCAGAGCATGGTTACTAAAGAATTGAGAAATTCCACTGGTTCATTCTTATAGGGAAAGTAACAGATGCGCAGATTGGTTATCTAAGTACCCTCTAGATCATCCATTACAAAATAGTTTTTGTTCTTTTTTCTTCCCCTCCACCTGGGATTTGGTTATTGTACTTAGCTGATTTTTCTAAGATTTGCTCTATGCGTAGAATTACTTTTGTTTAATTTCTGTGGGGTTTGTCCCCTACAGTTTACCAAAAAAAAAAACGATCAATAAGGCATTGTTTTCAAAAATATTATAAATTTATATTATTTAAAAAATAAGCAAGTGAATAATACTTTTTTTGTATTAAAAGGTTTGTGATGATCGTGTTCTCAAATGCATTAATGCCCCATTGAAATCTCATTCGATTAAACAAGAGTCACCAAATAAAGATATATACATGTTCAATCGAGAAAAAGTCTTGGAGATAATGATGTAAGATAATATTTAATATTTTTATTTGGAAATGATGACATTTTTTTGAATATAAAATTTCTTTATGTAAGTATAGTTTTTCTCAAAAAATTATCTAAAAATTACATTTTTTTCTTACATTTTAAAACTTACATAAAATATTTACCAAAAAAAAAAAACTTACATAAAATATAATTCTCAAATACTTTGAGATGATGCCCCTAATTTTGTTGCATTTTCTTATACATGTCTCCTAATTTGTAGCTTAATTTAACATTAGTTAATACTGTTATTTACTTGCTAAGGGAGGTCTATAATGAATTTTAAACTAAAACTACTCTATAGTTTAATTAATAATGTCAAATAACCACTTTTAGTTTATTGAAATATATTGAGTAATAACAAGAAAAGTTAAAATATTCTTTTGATATATTGATATAGTTTATATTTTTAGGTCAGCCTCTTAACAATTTTAGTCTGTCAATGAAGCTTACCTAAGAGGTGAGTATTTAAATACAAAACAACATTCCATGAAAGCAAGAGAAAAATCAGAGATGGCTCATGAGCTTAACTATAAGGCAGCGACAATAATTTTAAATATATATTATAACTAGTTAGCTGACATCTATGAAGCACCGATAATTCAAAAACTCTGACGTGTCGTGTCCGACACTACAACACGTGTTGTAGAGACTCAAGGAAATGTTCAAAGGTTGCGTTGTGTTATGTTTTTAGTTCCAATTATTAGATTCGTTAGATTACGATTACCATTTTATTGAGTTTAATATAAATATTTGAGATATCTTATGTTTCTTTGCAAAATTGATGGGTATTATAAGTTTAACTTCATTTTTTGTTAAATTATTGAGTATTAAATATAATATACATTATATAAAATAAAAATAATATTTAATACCAAAACGTGTCCTAACGTGTCAAAATCTAACAGTTTTTAGAATTAAGGTGTCAGAGTGTCCTGTTGTATTGTGTCTCGTGCCCCGTGTCGATATTGGTGCTACATAGCCTGACATGGCAAGGGAATGTGAGTGATAGGGGTTTAGTTAGCTGACGTGGGAAATAAGTATGTAAGCATAAATAGTAGTTATTGGTGTAACGAAGGATTTATTGATGAAATAAGAAAGACTTGATTTCGTTATTCGGTTATAGAGACCTTTTCTGTATCACGAAACCATTATGATTCTACCCATTCCCTCCAAACCCTTCTGATCTAAAACAAAGCATATTGACAAACGTCACTTCAACCCAAAACCTTAAGGCATTGGTATCAGAGCAAGACTTCCGCTAACAACTCTAAGTGAGGAGCGAAGCCATGTCCGACGCAAACCCTCAAGGGACCAGTACTGGAAAGAAGTTGGTAATTTCTGACCAGCGATCAGCCTCTATCTGAGAAATGCAGATGGACCAGGTATTCTGTTGAGCAACGTGGTGCTGAAGGGAGAAACAAATTGTGATGTGTGGGCTAATGCCATGAAAAACGCCCTCAAATCCAAGAACAGAGTTGGATTTATCAGTGGTGATGTGAAAGAACCTCCGAAAGTGAAGTCGATGAGTCTTTTGCTTGGACACAATGCAATTCGATGCTTAATAGCTGGATCCACAATACAATTGATCTGCAGTTGCAACCTTATATTTAGTATTTCGACACAGCAAAGGAACTTTGGGAAGACATGAAAAAGAGATATTCAGTTGCGAATTATAACACCCCGTATATATCCGTCAATGTTATCATACTATCGTATTAAGCTGTGCTTAATTAAAAATACGGAATATCTATTTCTTTTCAATTATGAAGTCATTATCATTACCAACTTGCTTATTATTCAATTAATAAAAAATCGCCTGTGTGTAATTGCAATAAAACAGCTAATTGAAATACCTCATCAATTAAATAACATAATGTATGTCTCTAGCCACGGAGCTACAACACGTAGACCGGACCCACTAGCAATTTAGACAATTCAACTCAAAAGTACTAACAACATAGTGGCATGGACAACTCTCATGCTCACCCAAATAAGGCAACAAAGCCCAACATAAGTCTCAACATCAACAACATAAAGATAAAAGCGGAAAACATAAACAACATCCAATCCAGTCATGCCAATATATAACATATAATAGCAATAATCATCAGCTAAGCTCTGGCCTCCTGCCGCCAGAGGCATCAGTTCCCATACTACCTGAACCTGAAATAAGCATTGCCCAAACGTGGGGTGAGATCTCTAAACAAGAAATCTCAGTAAGGCAAAGGGTCCTCGAGGATCTTCCACCCCAAGCTCACTTACATGTGCAATATAAGTTCAAAAGCAGTTTATCATCATCAGTTCTAAAATAGTGCAATGCAGCAGATAATCATGTCATGTGTATCAATTCTATTCTACTGGCCAGAGAAATGCAAGATTTATATACGTCTAATACCCACAAATAGTGCAAGATGCTACTTGCATCCACCCCGGATCACTGTCTTGTATGACGCCGCATACTCAGGCTTACCGTCAAGATGGAACAACACATTCATATTAAAAGCCATTACACATAAAGCTCAACAACATTTCAAATATCCAAAGCATGTAACACAACATGCATATAACCATACCCCATGGGACATGGTAGAACCACAACATGGCTAAACCGAGGACACGAAATCTTACCTTGCAAGCTAACTACCCAAAGCCAAGAGTCCACAAGCTCAAGTCCAAACACAGCAGAATCATAATCTGATATGGACCAACAATACATCAACAATCATACTCTACAAGTATACAACATAAAGACAACACATATTCATTACGTTTTACGTCTTAAGGCTTCTCACCAAGCCATAAGACCTTAATCCCATGATTCTGACTTGCATTAATTAATTACAGAAGTTCAACTTCCTCAAACTAGGGTACACAAACCCATAGATAAGTTCTAGATGAACAGTACACTACTGTTTCTCGAAAACCCAGAATATCCAGATATTCCTCGGGGGCATATCCGGATATCATATATCCGGATATCACTCTAGAAATATCCGGATATCAATATCCGGATATCCAGATCCCCATATCCGGATATCCAATATCCGGATATTTTACGAGCAGATATCCGGATATTACACGACAGAATGCAGTTTCTGCATTTCGCGAAGATATCCTTCCAAGGTTCCATTTTTAACACTTAAACACGTTAAAGCATGCATTTTTATACCCTCATAGGTTTACATACGAGCTGGTTACTTGCTTAACCCATTTACATGCAAAGATATCACCTTTAAACCATTAAAACTCATGATCAAGGTTAGGCAACTCACCCAAAGCTCATAACAGAGGCAAGGGGCTGCTCTTGGAGCTCACAACCAGCTCACAAGGTTCTGACTTGGTCCCAAAACGAAAATGACACACCAAGGTTGGTTCTTTCTTCACAGGAAGCTCCTTGAAGCTCACAATGCCACTACAATGGCTCAACAACCCCTAACCTCCAAAGTCAGCAACAAACACTCCCCAAACAGAGGTCACAAACTCAGAATGATACTCTCCACACCCCTCCAAAGCCAACTCTCACAAGCTACAAGTGTTTAGGAGAAGAATTTGTGAAGGAAATGACCCCAAAGCTCAAGAACAAGGTGAAGAAGCCATGGAATAGTGTTTAAGAAAACTGGTTAGCCACCCTCCACGCAGAGAATTCTGAATGCCTAGGGTTTTGTGCCTTAACAAGACTATATATAGTCACTTAACAAATTAACACACAGTATTAGCTTTTATTGCTACGCTTAGCATTTTAATCCCAAACTCAGGATTCTTAACCTACTCAATTTTACAAGAATTATCATATTTTTCTTATATTTTTCGGAGCACCTTTCCGGTACGCGCTTTTCATAGCCAGTACCAGTTTCTGGCACCAGTTCTCATTATTTTAACTTGAAACTCGTTTTACAAGTCCTATATGTTATTCTAGTAATTATCATGCACTTATAATAATATTCTGTGATACTTTTTTGGTACGCATTTATAACGACTAGCAGAACCGGTATCTGCACTTTTCGTCAGAAAAGCAACTTTCAGCATTATTACTCACTTACTATAATTATTAGAGCCTCATAATAATTATTAGGGTCAATTATGGAATTATCTCATTAAATTCATAATTAACTGATTAATTTCCTTAATTAACGGTGCAGGTTCTTACATTCACCCCACTTTTTTAGGATTTTGTCCTCAAAATCAGAATATACCTGTCTCGGAAATCTGGATACTGTCGGAGAAGCTTGTCCTCTCGCTCCCAGGTACACTCCTCAGGAGTCCTTCCTGACCATTGCACTTTGACCATCGGAATGATCTTGCTCCTCAACTGCTTCTCTCCACGATCGAGAATCTTGAGTGGTCCGACGGGAGTTTTCAAGTTCTCCCGAACATCCACATCATCAGGCTGCACTACGTGCGAAGGATCCACTACATACTTGCGAAATTGAGACACGTGAAACACGTCGTGGATATTGGCCAAGTTCGGAGGCAAGGCAAGCAGGTAGGCAACAGGTCCTACTCTACCAAGAATCTGGTATGGCCCAATAAACCGCGGGCTCAGCTTCCTCACTCTGAGTGCCCGTCCAACACCGGTGACAGGTGAAAATCTCACAAGCACGTGATCACCTTCGCTGAACTCCAGTGGACGATGCTTGACATCGTAGTAACTCTTCTCGCGATTCTGCGCCTGCTTCAGCTTTTCTCTGATCATCTGGATCTGCTGGGTAGTATCTTGAACAAAGTCCAAGCCTAACAACTCTTTATCTCCAACCTCAGATCAGCAGGTAGGTGTACGACACCTCCTACCGTACAACGCCTCGTAGGGTGCCATGCCCAGGTAAGCATGGAAACTGTTGTTATACGAAAACTCCACCAACGGAAGGTACCTATCCCATGCCGAGCCCTACTCCAACGTGCAAGCCCGCAACATGTCCTCCAAGGTCTGGATAGTCCGCTTAGTCTGTCCATCAATCTGAGGTGATAGGCTGTACTCAATCTCAACTGAGTACCAAAAGCTCCCTGCAGCGCCTCCCAGAACCGAGATGTGAACTTCGGGTCCCTATCACTGATGATACTCTCGGGCACCTTGTGAAGCCTCACGATCAAGCTAACATACAGTTTGGCCAACTGCTCAGTGGTAAAGCTCACCTTCACTGGAAGGAAATGGGCAGACTTCGTCAGTCTGTCCACAATGACCCATATAGAGTCACAGAAAACCTGAGTCTTCGGCAAACCCACAACGAAGTCCATGGAAATGCTCTCCCATTTCCATTCCGGAATCTCAAGAGGTTGAAGTTTACCAGATGGCTTCTGGTGTTCAATCTTCACTTTCTGACAGATCAAACACTTGGACACATACACAGCTAGGTCCTTCTTCATTCCTGGCCACCAGAAATTCCTTTTTAGGTCTTGGTACATCTTTGTAGCACCAGGGTGAATAGTAAACTGTCCCTTATGGGCCTCCCCCATAACCTCATCGGTCAAAGGACCTCGAGGAATCAAAACACGCTTCTGAAACAACAGAAGTCCATCCTCATTCCAAGACACACCATCTTGGTTCTTCACGTAGTCGAGACACTCTCTCTGCACTTGCGCTTCGTGGATGTTCTCCATAAGCTCATTCCTGACTCTCACAGTCTCCATCTCGAGAAGTGCACCCCCAAACAAGGAAGTCACCTTCAAGTCTCGAAACTTCTCTATGATGTCGAAGTCACCCATAGACAAACTGGATAGACTCACGGATTTCCGACTCAAAGCATCAACAACCACATTGGCCTTGCCAGGATGGTACTTCAACTCAAAGTCGTAGTCCTTCAGAAATTCTATCCATCTCTTCTGCCTCATGTTCAGCTCCTTCTGATCAAACAGATACTTCAAGCTCTTGTGGTCACTGAACACGGCAAACTGCATATTGAACAGGTAATGCCTCCAAATCTTGAAAGAAAACACAATCGCAACCAACTCCAAATCATGAGTCAGGTAGTTCTCCTCATAAGGCTTCAACTGCCTCGAAGCAAAAGCAATAGCTCTACCAGACTGCATCAACAAACAACCCAACCCCTTTCCGGAGGCATCACAATAAAGCTCAAACTGCTCCTCAGGATCAGGAAGGACCAACACAGGTGAAGTAGTCAATCTCTCTTTCAACTCCTGAAAGCACGCCTCACACTCGTGAGTCCACACAAATGGAGTCTCATTTCGGGTAAGGCGAGTCAAAGGGAGAACCATCGTGGAGAAACCCTTGATGAACCTCCGATAGTAACCTGCCAAACCTAAGAAGCTCCTCACCACCGTAACTGTCTTGGCCCTCTCCCAATCCAGCACAGCCTCAATCTTGTTGGGATCCACTGCAACTCCATCAGCTGAAATCACATGCCCAGAAACTTGACTGATTTGAGCACAGCCTCAAACTTGTTGGGATCCAGAACATTTCGATTTTTTAATGTAAAACTGATGAGCTTTAAGTATGGATAATACTACCCGTAGGTGTTGTAAATGGTCCTTCATAGAAGAACTGTAGATGAGAATATCATCAAGGAAAACAGCCACAAACTTGCGCAGGCAGGGTTGCAATATGATATTCATGGTTGCTTGGAAGGTGGATGGAGCATTTGTCAAGCCAAATGGCATGACTAAAAACTCATAGTGACCTTGGTGAGTTCTAAAAGCAGTCTTATGGACATCATCTGGACTCATTCTGATTTGATGATATCCTGCTCGAAGATCTAGCTTAGAAAAAATTGTGGAACCTCCAAGTTCATCCATCAACTCATCAGCCGTTGGTATGGGGAATCTGTCCCTGATAGTAATGCTGTTCAATGCTCTAAAATCGATGCAAAATCGCCAGGAACCATCCTTTTTCTTAACTAAGAGGACTGGGGAAGAGAAAGGACTGGTACTGGTACGAATAAATCCTGAATCCAACATCATCTTCACCTGTTTTTCAATTTCTCCTTTCTGAAAGTGAGGATATCTGTATGGTCTCACATTCACTGGTGCTGAATTTGGTTGTAAATGTATTTGATGATCAAGCTGTCGATGGGGTGGCAATTCTGTAGGTTCTTGAAAGAGTGTATCAAACTCATTGATCAAAATGGTTACTTCTGTGTGAACTGCAGGAACAGTAGTGGTTGTATTCATATCTATAACAGATAATTGGAATAAGGAAGCTACCTGTCCTTGCTGTTTTATTTTCTTAAACTGATTGAAAGAAATGGAAGTAGTGTGCTTATCTCCTTGCAGTCGAATAGATTCTCCTTCCCAAGAAAATTCCATTGATAATTTTTGATAGTCCAGTACAATAGGTCCCAGCAGCTGCAACCATTGAACCCCAAGTACCAAATCTGCACCCTGAATAGATAACACATAACAGTCTACAAGGAAAACATGCTGTTGTACTTGGACTGGTACTGCAGAACAAAATCCTTCACACTTAAGGATTTGACCATTACCCACCATGACATCAAATTGCTTGTCATTCAGTATAGGTAGCTGAAGATCTGAGACTACTCGAGGTTGGACAAAATTGTGAGTACTTCCACCATCAACTAACAAAACGATTTCTGATTTCCCAATAAAACCATTAAAACGTAATGTCTGAGGAACTACAAAACCAGATAAAGCATGCATACTGATTTGTGGTGTATCCATCTCAATTGGTTCCATATGTAAGGGTGGAGGATCTTCAATGTATTCATGAGTTGAAAGAGTCCCACAATCAACATTCTCTTCATCAGGAATTATCAGCAGATGCACGAAAGCTTTGCATTTGTGACCTTTGAAATATTTCTCCCCACAATAAAAACACAAGTTCTTGTCTCTCCTTTCTTGCATCTGGCTTTGGGTAAGTTTATGGGTCAGAGGCTGATTTTGGGTAGGTGTGGTATTTGGAACAAAAGGTTTAGTTGTGTTTGTTGTTTGATGAAAACGTGATTGTAGTGTAGGTAATAATGGAGGGTAAGAGGAATGTAATTTTGGTGGGTTAGTTTTGAGGAGTAGTTTGGATTCGTGGATCTTAGCTAAAGACATTGCATGGGATAAGGAAGAAGGTCTAAAAGCAGAAACATCATGTTGGATATCTTTTTTTAATCCTGAAATGAAACAACTCACCAGAAAGGATTCAGATAAACCATCAACCTGGTTGGACAAGTGTTCAAACTGTTCCTGGTATTCCAATACCGTTCCTGTTTGCAGCAATTTGGTCAATTGACCTTGATAATCTTCCATTTTGGAAGGACCAAATCGGATCTGCAATGATTGCAGAAATTTGGGCCATGAATCAATGGTGGAGTTCTTGTGGAACCACTGGTACCATTTTAAGGCCTTGCCTTCAAAGTAAAAAGGAGCAATCTTCAATCGCTGTTCCTCTTCCATATCATAGAAATCAAAAAATTGGTTGATTTTGTAGATCCAACCCTGTGGATCAACTAATCCATCATACCGTGAAACCTTGAGCCTCAAGTTCTTCGCTGCTGCATGATCTTTGGATGCATGTGGTTGATTTGTGGAACCACTCGGTGATGATTGTTTGTCTCTGTAGTTATCAAAAATGGCATCCAGTTTACAAGTTATTTCCTGAAAACGCTTGTTCATATGCTCCTTCAACACATCGATTTCAGCTTGTGTGTTCTCCCACCTATCCTCCATGGGTCGCGAACGAGTTTCAGGAGCCATTGTTCAAGATGAAAGCACCAATTGGTAGAGAGTGTCTCTACTATTAGGGAAAATCAACAGAATTGGGGAAGAGAAGCAAGAAATCAGAAAATGAAGATGAGAAAAGAATGCTTAGGTTTATTGAATTTCATCAAAAGATACAATGTTTATCCTCCTCTGTATTTTTATACTCCCACTACTTCTAACCACCTTTCCCACTAACTCTACCTTTCTTTACACGTTACTTTCAATACAACAATGTGTAACTACCTAATGTCTACATGTCATCTCTGAACCTTATTGGTATTTTCTTCACACGTGTCCCTTTCCTTTGTGCAATACTTTGTTCTTTTATTTGCTCCTCCTCTTCTAATTGCTCTTCTTCTGTTACTATTGTATCACTATGTGGCAGTGAGCAACATCAGAAATCCTCTACCATGGACACTTGCAGCAATTCTCCTCGATGACAGTAATAACCGGACTTGCAGTGGTTGGTGACTGAGTGTAAAAAAAAAAAGGGCTATGGTGGTGCGATAGTTGGCAACGGCGGGGGTTACAGCAAAAGCTTTTTTTTTCTTAGAAAATACTCATTTTTTGGCTTGGTTCGTCTTCCTTTCTTTTTGCTTCTGAGAGGTGTTCTCTTTTTTATAACCTGAAGTTAGCTAACCAAAAAAATCCCTTTTTTTCCCGTTCAGTCTCCCTTTTTAAACTTCTTCAATGCTCCCCCTAAAAACCAGCGTCCCTTCCTTTGTTCTGTATCTTTTCGTTAGCTTTATAGGATAAAAAAAGAACCAAACTTTATTACATTATCTGAGAGGTAAACAGAAGGAGCCTTGCTGAATTGAGCATGGGTCTTCTCCAAACTCCATTTTAGTGCACTGCTCCTCTGCTTCTATGTGTCCATCTCTGAACCATTCTTATTTTGTCTACCTGATATCTTACTTTTCAGCAAAGTATGCAACGTACACCAGTGAAGTATCTTTGTGCCCAAAACGTATGCCAGTGGAGAACTCTTTTGCAGTGGCGGTCTCTTGTGCAGAGCTTTTCCTCTTGAAACGACAATATGACTAGCTTAGGAAAAGAGAGAAATGTAGTTACTCTGCTTACGATGCAAGTAATAGTTAGGGGTAGTTTTCTTCTTTTGTTCATTTTTTTATATTTTATTTTATTATTTAATTACTACTTTTATTTTTTATTTTTTATTTTTAAAATAGGAGTTCACAATAATTTTTTTTAAAAAGATATTTGGGATAAAATCAGGTGTTCACACTCCCCAAGGAGACACACTCGGCCGAATGAAATCTTTCGCCGAAAGATCCTCAATATGTTTCTTCAGCTCAGCCAACTCCGGTGGCGACATCCGATATGGAGCTAAAGAAATCGGCCCCACACCAGGCAACAATTCAATGGAGAACTCTATCTCCTACTGTGGCAGAAACTCAGGAATCTCCTCAGGAAACACATCGAGGAACTCCCCCACTACAGGAATGCCAGTGATATCCTCCTGTGTCCCACTCACCAAACCTCCCAACATGACATATCCGAATGCCCCTGCTCTCAAGGCCTTCCTAGCCTGCAGCAATGAAATATATGGCGAGGAACTAGCTGTGGAATCACACGAAGACATCACCACACGCTTTGCACAACAATCAATCAGTGCGCAGTTTCTAGACAACCAATCCATGCCCAGAATAATCTCCAAGTTGGCCATCGGCAATCCTATCAGATCCACCGAGAACTCACGGTCGTCCCACTGAAATGCTACATCGCGATGTACAGTGGTAGAATCACAAATTTCTCCAGTGGCGGTAGTCACCCGCAACGGTGGAGAAAGCACAGACATGGGCAACTCAAGCCCCAAAGCAATCGGGGTAGCGACAAACGAATACGTAGACCCGGAATCAAACAATGCATCAACAGCAATACCACCAATAGACACAGTACCTCTAACAAGGTTCGGAGCGCGGTCCGACTACTGCCTATCCAAGGTGTACACATGCCCAACAGAAGGTGGCACCGCAGGTGCCGAAGTAGAAGCCACCAGAACCATCTGCAAAGGAACTGCCTGAACAGCTGCAGCTATACCGTCGACGGCGGACAGTCTCTAGAGAAGTGGCCCTCCTTGCCACACTAGAAACAGATCAGCTGTCCCGATGCACAACGACCAGCATGCTCCTTTCCACACCCCGCACATCTTGAAGTGGAAGAAGGTCTAGCAAAACTCCCCTACTGTGAAGCAGCCCTCTTAAACTGACCAGGTGCCTGCCTAGTCGCCAACTGTTTACCCTTGCCCTTCCCAGCAAACTTCCTGTCCTTCCAAGAAGTAGGAGCAGGAGTGGAACCAACAGTCCCCTTGGTCTCGTCGACCTTGGCCCTCTTGGCCTTGCTCGCAATGCAGACATCCTCAATGTCCTTACACTGCTGAACTAGCGTACAAAAATCCCTCGAAGCAGCTCCAGCAATATGCTCAGCAATCACCTCACTAAGTCCTCTGCGGAACTTAGTAGCCAGAAACATCGGAGTAGGAGGAACCATCCGGAAGTGCACAAACTTCACATGCTCATTAAACTTGGCCAGGTACTCGTCAACAGACATCGAGCCCTGAACCAATCTATCAAATTCCCCCTGCTTCCTATCCTGCGCATCGTAGAGAAAGTACTTGCCCAAATAGCATTCCTTGAAGAATGGCCACGTCATGACATGACCCTGCATTAATAAGCACGAGAGGTGTTCATCCACCACTCATGGGCATCGCCCTCCAGCATGTAAGTCGAGAACATCAGCTTCTGCGGGTTTGTACACTGCATGACCCAGAATATCTTGTCCAGCGCCTGTATCCATCTCGCTGCAGCAATAGGATCCAAAGACCCATCAAACACAGGTGGCTTATGCTTCCTGAAAGCATTCAGCCGACGATCAATCACGTCACGATCCTCAGCATGCCCTACCAAGGTCTCCATCATCTCAGTGACAAGAGTAGCACTACCAATGTGACTCAGGCTCTCATCCTGAACACTAGGGGGAGGCGGCGATGGTGGTGGCGGTGGTGGCGATGGATGCTGACCTACAGCAGGACCAGCCCTCATCTCTTCCAACATGACTCTCATCATCGTCATGTTCGCCATCCTGTTCGCCTCGAGAACATCCTCAGTGGTCCTCCGGTTCGCTTCACGAACCTCTTCTGCGGCTATCCGGTTCGTCTCGCGAACAGTGTCCATCATTGCCGCGTTGGCCAATCTAGTGGCCTCCTGATCGGCTAATCTAACCGCCTGCATCTCAGCCAATGTAGTCAGGATAAGATCGGGTTGATCCTCAGAAGTGTCTCGTGTTCTCCCGGACCTTACCATGACTCTGCACAAGATACACAAATTATGAGTTGATCAGGCCCATGCAATGTGATCACATATGCATTATCATAATAAAATTCGACGGAGCAAACACACAAGACAGACGCAACCAAACATCCTAGCTATTGCAATACATACAGGCTTTTCCCTAGAACCATTTCTTTGATACTATAAATGTAACACCCCGTATATTTCCGGTAATGTTATCATACTATCGTATTAAGCTGTGCTTAATTAAAAATGCGGAATATCTACTTCTTTTCAATTATGAAGTCATTATCATTACCAACTTGCTTATTAATCAATTAATAAAACATCGCCTGTATGTAATTGCAATAAAACAGCTAAATGAAATACCTCATCAATTAAATAACATAATGTATGTCTTTAGTCACTGAGCTACAACACGTAGACCAGACCCACTAGCAGTTTAGACAACTCAACTCAAAAGTACTAACAACATAGTGGCATGGACAACTCCCATGCTCACCCAAATAAGGCAGCAAAGCCCAACATAAGTCTCAACATCAACAACATAAAGATAAAGGCGGAAAACATAAACAGCATCCAATCCAGTCATGCCAACATATAACATATAATAGCAATAATCATCAGCTAAGCTCTGGCCTCCTGCCGCCAGAGGCATCAGTCCCCATACTACCTGAACCTAAAATAAGCATTCCCCAAACGTGGGGTGAGATCTCTAAACAAGAAATCTCAGTAAGGCAAGGGGTCCTCAAGGATCTTCCACCCCAAGCTCACTTACATGTGGAATATAAGTTCAAAAGCAGTTTATCATCATCAGTTCTAAAATAGTGCAATGCAGCAAATAATCATGTCATGTGTGTCAATTCTATTCTACTGGCCAGAGAAATGCAGGATTTATATACGTCTAATACCCACAAATAGTGCAAGATGCTACTTGCATCCACCCCGGATCACCGTCTTGTATGACGCCACATACTCAGGCTTACCGTCAAGATGGAACAACATATGCATATTAAAAGCCATTACACATAAAGCTCAACCGCATTTCAAATATCCAAAGCATGTAACACAACATGCATATAACCATACCCCCATGGGACATGGTGGAACCACAACATGGCTAAACCGAGGACACGAAAGCTTACCTTGCAAGCTAACTACCCAAAGCCTAGAGTCCACAAGCTCAAGTCCAAACACAGCAGAATCACAATCTGATATGGACCAACAATACATCAACAATCATACTCTACAAGTATACAACATAAAGACAACGGTTTTCATTACGTTTACGTCTTAAGGCTTCTCACCAAGCCATAAGCCCTTAATCCCATGATTCTGACTTGCATTAATTAATTACAGAAGTTCAACTTCCTCAAACTAGGATCCACAAACCCATAGATCAGTTCTGGATGAACAGTACGCTACTGTTCCTCGCAAACCCATAATATCCGGATATTCCTCGGGGGCATATCCGGATATCTCGCTGGCAATATCCGGATATCCAGATCCCCATATCCGGATATCCAATATCCGGTTATCTCTCTAGCAATATTCGGATATCAATATTCGGATATCCAGATCCCCATATCCGGATATCCAATATCCGGATATTTTACGAGCAGATATCCGGATATTTCACGACAGAATGCCGTTTCTGTATTTGGCAAAGATATCCTTCCAAGGTTC